AATAGTCAGTCTACTAAGTAAAGTCTGTGACTTAAAATATGAAAAGACTTAAATGATAGCAATATGGGGAATCAATTCTAGAAATTAAGGGAAAACAGCACAAAATATAAAGCAACACTCAATATACGTTTGCTCTCATACTGACTGAGTGCTACTACTTCTCTTGTTCATTTCTCGGTGTCTAGGTATGCCGCCAACCTCCAGCAGCTGCTCTCCTCGTCTGCAAACTCAAGGCAGTGCACGCACCCTCCACAGCTGTGAGGGTTAAGCAGGCAGGGTGCAGGACAGTGCCTGGCACACCACGGGCACGTAAAGCAAAGAGACACTCAAGCAGCCAATTTCCTTCCTTCCCTCGGTAAGATGCTGTGAGATATGCACACCCTAAAGTGAGACGAATTCCTTCTGCTCTTTCGAGTCTCCTTCTACTGAACACAAATGAGAAAATAAACTGACTTGGGGTCTGCAGATGCCAGGAGAGCCTTTCAGGCCCCTCTGATTGAGGCCTCACCAAGAGCCGTGAGCCCAGCACCCTGCAAATGCTTCGAGGACAGCTCCTCAAGGGGCACGAAGGAAAACCACTCCAAAATAAGCGTCTTCAGGATTTTTTTATTAGAAATCTGATTTTTTTTAAAAAATTATTTTTAAATTAGTGACCTAACACCTTATTTTTGAGACTCTGTGACCTAATACTCCATCTCTCATATTTGGAAACATAAATATGTTTACAGACTATCATTATATCATTTATGTAGAATAAAACGTTATTACTTTTGTCGGTAACACATTCAAGCAAAGACTGGAAATGCTGAGGTAGCAGAGAAACAGGGGAGCAAATGGTGTATCTTATCTTCAAGCAGTAAACACCTTAACTTCAAAATAAATTTATCGCTACTTTCTCACTTTTAATCAAAGCACTGAATTTAAACAATGAAGAAGACTAACAATCCTACGCGCTGAGTAAAAGCGCTCGTCATCATACGCCAAGACAGTTACGTTAGAGGGCACGCAGAACAGGTGCCTCCATATGTGTATTATCACGTAAAGATTTCAGGCATTTTAAAAATAGATCGCACAGTTCTCCAAAGACGCATGAAAAGACACTGTGCCTTATTAGGAAAGGGTACAGAAAGTAACATGCCAAACCTCAGTCAAACTGACAGTCCCGTCTTGCTTTAAACGGTCCTCTGCTGACACGTTGCATAGCTCCTTCTCACTCTGCAATAAAGACTTTACAGACTGGAACACATCTTCACTGAAGCTCTGGAAACAGAAGATACCCTTAATTTATTTCATTCTAAGACAAGGTACGAGATCCTGGAGATATGCTAGCTTTAAATAGAGAGTCACTTACCTTTCCAACGAATGTTCCTTTGGCATATTATCGTACACCTTTTGACATACACTGAGCTCAATTCGGCTGAGAGGAAGAGAGTGCAAAATGCTTCCGTGGAGTTCCACACGCTCAGCACACACACCCATGGCCCGGGCGTGGCCCGCAGGCCGGTTCACTTACTCTCCACCCTGAAACCTGACAGGCCGTCCGGCCGGCTTCCGAGCGCTGGCAGAACAGAAGCAAGCACTCGATGACGAGACGGCGGGGAAGCTGCTGTGAGGGATGCTAACAACAGGGATTACTCTCATGACGAAGCTGGTGATGGGGGAAGAAAAGCGATAACCCCAAATAAGGCTTTTCGGGGACCTTAAGGCAGCTGTATGAAAGCATGCAAAGTATCGGAGGGAGGAAAAAGTAACGTAAAGAAAAAATGAGCGTTATAGTCAGACATAAGTAGAACGTGAATCTCTTTGCACCTTTCTCTCCTGCTGACCTGCTGACCTGCTGACCTGCTGCTCGTCCATGAGAACGGTCCTTACTCCGCGGTCTCCCCCAGCAGAACTCCTACCCTCTGCAAGACCTGCAAAGATCTGCCCCCCAGTCGCGATGAACCTCTCAAAGCTCCTACTGTATCGTCTGCACTTTAAGATCATCTAATCTATATCACGACACGTTACAATTCCTATTTTCACATATATTTGTCTTTCTTACCCATCAAATCAAATTACTGACACCAGAGACTGTAAAATTGTATTTTACTCAATTTGTTTCCCCAGATTTCCGTACCTCACATACTATGTGAATTCAAGAAATCTTCAGTCTAAGAGAAGAGATATTAATATAAAACCAAAGCAGTTGAGGAAAAAATGTAATGATAAATTTGAATTTGAACTATCAGCATGAACTAAAGATTATTTAATACGCATACTACATTTTTCCACTGAGCAATCACAGAAGCAATGACCGTCAGCAGCAGCGAGGACACCCGCCATCAGACTGTGGTTTCTAAACACCATGTGCCAATGAAAAGGACAGTCTCTAGGGAAAATGGCTGCTTCCAGGTCTGAGGCAGAGACAGCAGGAGGTGTGGCTGATACAGCCGACTGTGACAGAATGCAGGAAGTGCTCAGAGACTAACTGGGAACACAGAAGCCAACTTGAAGAAATTCCCACTGGCCAAATTTGGGACAATATGAGCATCAAAAGAATAAAAATGGTAACGAAATATTTTTAAAAAAAAAACAAACAAACCACCCTACAAGTCCATTAAAACGGACAGAGAAAAGGGTGGGATGGGGGTGGAGCATATCTTTACACGAGAACGCTGGCTAACAAATAACAAATATGGACTGAATGACAAAGCTAGAAAAATACCCTCTATAACTCCCCATGTAATTACTGATTTAGAAAAGGGTCATCAATGGGTCCTAATCCACTGGATTAAAAACTTCTGGAGAACAGGACACTCACACTGTCTCACAGAATCACCCCGTGGACTGCTTACTAATCATATTAATTATAAAGGGATTCTGTGTCTTTAAGTTAGAATTATTGCGAGCCTGGACCCTCCTGATCTGACAGAAGGGAAAGGCCACGCCACCACCTCAGGGGTCCCTGCCAAACCTGAAGACAGGGCGAAACAGAAGGACTCAGAACACGGGACGTGGCACAAGGCGACGGGTCCAGACTTCCATGGACCTGCTGCCGGGAGAGAAGCAGCCAGACCACTGAAATGGACTAGACTGGGGACACAGAAAAGACACGATGCCCAGGTACGGGGTGACTGGGTCCCAGACGAGACCCAAGGGAAAGCAACAAGGGTATTGAGACGGTTACGGAATGTGTGTACGGACGGCATGTTATGTCAGACCGTCTGAGGGCGGGAACGATGCTGAGGTTAAGAGATGCCTGCTGGCAGACGCAGGACAGAAGCAACATGACATCCGCAGCCTCCCTCCCGGCTTCAGAAGTGTGCCATTCCCTGACGTGGCCGCTGCGGGACCCTCGTACTTTGGATGAGATCTGGGTCAGAACAGAGACTGGTTCCTGTACATCCAGAAGGGGAGACGGCCTCCCACGCACTCTCTGATGGACGCCCCTGGATGGGCCGCTGTCCTGCCTGACGGGCATGGAAGGTGTTGTCCCTCGTCGGGACGGGCCTAGCGCCACATCCATCCTGCCCTGACTTGCACAGCTCCTGAGTGCCTGGCAAGCGGCACGGAGGACAGCCATGTCTTGGCCACAGCCCAGGATGGGCCTGGCACATACGTGTCCGAACAAACTCCGTTACTTGCTGGACTGGAGTGGCCTGCCTTTCTCGGCCTTGTCCCTCCCCTCCATCTCAGGGCTTCCCCTGGGTCCGCATGTACAAAGTGTACATGTGGGTGCGCATGTGTGTGAACACACGCAGAACAGTTATGGCAACTAACTAACAGAGGTGACTCTAACTGAAGAGTGTATGTGGTGTTCATTGTATGGTTGCCCCTCACTAACTTTTCTGTGGGCTTGAAAATATTCAAATTTTAAAGGATTCTGCTTTCATTAGTGAGTAGAGGATTTCAGGTTAAGATACAAACATGAACTCAAAATAAAATATAAAATATAAAATAAATAAAATAAAATAAAATAAATAAAATAAAATAAATAAAATAATAAAATAAAATAAAATAAAATAAAATAAAATAAAATAAAATAAAATAAAATAAAATAAAATAAAAAAGAAAACTGAACTTGAACTGTCAGCATAAACTCATGACAGCAGTGGGCATTGCTAGTACCCAGATCTCAGTTTCTAAATTCTATTCAGGGTTCTTTGGAGAAACAGTCAATTCCAGGTCTGAAGAAGGGAAAGTGGAAGGTGACACTGGGGTCCATCTGTTGCACTAGAAATCAAAGAAGCAAGCAAAGAATTAGGAGCCTGAGACAAAAGGACATCGGCACCAGCTTGGAGGGGCTCCTGGGGACCAAATTTGGAACAACATGAGCAGCTTAAAATAGATGAGTGAATAAAATAAATGACTATAAATAAAAAAAGGTCGAGAACACACAGAATCCATGTGTCCAAAGTAATAAAAATAAATGAACGAATAAGTGAGGGGAAATAAACTCAGTCGCCACCACTGGAGGTGACTACTCCACTAAGTCACTAATCTGAACACTGGTAATTAAAGGGCATTTACCTTGCCTTTACTGGAGATACCGTAGTTTATCTAAGGGTGAGGAGAGGAAGCTGTTAAGAATGTTGGCTAATGTAAAAAAAAAAAAAGGCAAAATTAGGAAAATCACCATTTTGCAACTTCTAGAAAATAAAAAATTCAAGAAAAGGTCATCAAGGAATATTATTAGATGAAAGGTTGTTGGAAAAAACAAGGTATTTGCACACAAACGAGGATCATCCCATGGATTGTTCGCTAACTAAAAGCAGACAGCTCTGGCAGAGTTACTACCTTACTCTGTTGATCAATCTTTGCATTGCTGATTGTAGGAAAAACCTGAAATTCTAGTTTATGTGAAATACAGAGGAGAGAGGAACAAATAGCATCGTGAGAAAACCACCAGACAAACCCAGAATGTGCAGCATTATAAAAAACTGGCCTAATCTGTTCAAGAAGTCAGTCTTGAATATTAAAAAAACAACAAGGAAAAAGAAGCCTCTTCTGTGCCGAGAGCACTCTCACAGACATGGTGATGGTCCCTGAAACCCGCCAGACTTTCTGTAGAAGTATGGCAAGCACCGACCCCACAGAGTGACACGGTACAAGAAGGGCAAGATCTCTGTGTGCCCAGGGAAAGCAGCACCACGACAGGATGCAGTGGCTCTGGTGGCCAGACCCAGCCGATCTTCCGGGAGAGGGTTAAAACTACAAAGAAGATTGTGCTGAGGCTGGAATGTGTTGAGCCCAACTGCAGAGTTAAGAGATACAGCATTTTGAACTGTGTGAGGATATAAGAAGAGACAGGGCCTCGTGATACAGTTCTAAGCTTCAGCTTTGGTTTTATTTCGAAGACAATAAAATCTTGAGGTTATGTTCACTTCTAAAAATATATTTAATGAAATTAAAAAAACTTTTTTAAACAAATAAATAAGAGGAAGAAACTCTTTCAGACCAAAAGAAAGGTAAGGAAGTCATAACCATCAAATGCAACTTAGGGCCTAGGAGCCTAAACTGAATCCAAGATGGGGAGGTAGGGGTGGAAGCTGTAACAGATATTTTAAGGGCAATAAGGGAAATCTGAGTATGGCGGCATGTTAGCTATAAGAGAATTACATTCAATTTTCATAGGTGTGATACTGGGATTATTGCTAGAGAGGAGGGTGTGTTATTCCTGGGAGAAGCATGCTCAAGTACCCAGGGGTGAAGAGACATTAAGACTTTAACTTTCAAATGGTTCTGCCAAAAAGTAAACACACACACACACACACACACGCACGCACACGGCAAAAAAGACAAAATATTAACAATTACTAAATATGGGTGTTTGGTATGCAAGTTTATGTGTGGGTGCACTATGCTTTTAACTTCTCAATATGTTTGAAATTTTTCATAACAAAATGTTAGAAATAAATTAATAGAGTACAAAGTATACCTTTTTCTGTTTTTTATAATACTTGCTTCCCAATAAATATTTGATGTCTCTCTACCTTTAATGCAAAGTGGAATCTAAGGAATTCAAGCACACCTTTCAATTTCACGTCAGCCAACAGAGAAGTTTCTATCACTCAGCTATACCAAGGAAAGGCATCAAAAGCAGTGTAAGTCTGTAATACCTGGATTCACGTATTCTTATTTAAAAGTGAATCCAAACCAATCTTTCTTGTGTGCCTAATATGGATAATGTGCTGAATAACAAAAAACATTAAAATAACAGTATGAAATTTCAGCTGCAGCCTAATTCCTTATCTCAGGAATATGTTGGTAAGTTCAAGTTAAACAGGAATGCAGCATTATGCTTGAAGAACAAGGTCATTAGCTCATTACTATATTTTGTATATATGTTTCTTAGTTTTAATTATTAATATAAAGCCGTTGGTATAGTTATTAATTTAAAGCTATGGGTCCAGTTGCCAATCTGAAAAGGTATAATACACTAGTTTATAGAAAGAAGAAATTTGCTCACTATTAATACCTAGCATAGGGCCATATAATAAATACTCGAATTTATATTTGCTGAACGAATGAATAAATGAATGGTAATACTCTGAGGTAGAGCTAAATTTACACCTGATACTTGCTAAAAAGAAGATGGAAAACTATCTGCTGAGAAGACTTGGGGAGGAACCGTCATCTTTGAGAAATAAGGGTTATTGTCTTCAGGATTCTCTATCGCCACTTCCATACACACCAATCTTTGCACTATTTTAATGTTACTAATTTCGATAATGAGATTAACTTAAAACCATGAATATCATAGCTGCTGAACAAAAAAAATGATCAACATTTTGATTACGACTATCACCAAAAGTAACACAACACGTGAACTTACTTTTCTGACAGATGCCCTAGTCTTCGTGTGTCTGTTTCTGAGGGTCTGGAAAGTCGCCATAACTATATTGCTGTTCTATGTAATCAATGAAGAGTTAATCCATAAAATACCTAAAGAACACATAGAAAAAGAGAACAATTTATTAATTTTGGTGATTCAGGCAATCATTTTGTCCTAAAATAGTCATCTTAAAAAAAATAAAAACAAACAAAAATTCTGAGCCATAAAAAGTTACTTAGCAATCCAACACGAACATTTGAAAAATATGTGAATATAGGTACCTTAATAAGAGGAGCAAAAATACAGTATTTTCCCCTAGGACACCTTTGTGTTATGACTTTTCACTTAATGCTTTTTTGCTTTTTGCCCTATTCTGGATGAATGAACAAGAGTCCTAAGCAGGAAAAAACTAAGTGTATTTCTCCAGAGTCAAAGAAATGAAAGTGAACCTAGACCGTTTTTCCAGAAAGCAGATCAGAGACAAGAAAGAGATGGACAAGGCAAACAACTGAAAAGTGAGTGAGCTGCCGGACTCAGGAAGGACACAGGACATAAAAACAATTCCATGAAATCCTTCAGACACAGCGAAAAAGAAAAACGGGTATTGCTAAAAACACCAGAACAGCAAGGAAGTTTTAAGAAATATCACAGAACGCCAAAGAAAACAAATGAAAGGAATTAAAGAAACAATTAGAAAGAACACAGAAAACAGATATAGGAAAGTAAATAAATTACGCCTATCCTTTGATCCTGCAATTTCACATCTTAAAATTCATCCCACATATACACTTGCTCAAAATTCATAAAGATATAGGTGAAAGAATAGTCATTAAAATTAATATAAAACACTAGAAAGTATCTAAAAGTCCATCAATTCAAATAAATTATAACATAGTCAGATGACTACTACCCAGCTGTTGGAAAAAGATCAATACATACTGATATGAGCGTGTCCACAAAATATTAAGGAAAAAAAGCAAGTTACAGAACAGTACAGTGTGCTCACTACTTGTGACTAAGAACAATTACACAGAGACACAACTCCAACACACCTATATATGTGTTTGTACATGCCTAGGAAACATGACAGGTGCAAACTAAATTCGTGACAGTGGTCAGGCACAGCAACTGGGGTTTCTTAATGTTATGAAATGTCACATAATATGGTAAGATGATAGATGATTCAGTTAAATAAGGCAGTTTCCGGCATGTTCACATTATCTCCGTTTTGTGTAAAATCTGCATTGTTAGATGCACAATAAAACAGAATATATACTAGATGGGTATAAACATTGGTTTTATCTGGGTATATGCAATTACATATGTTTTCTCTTTCTGGATGTACATAAATTCTTTTTTAATAAGAAAAATATGTGTGTGTGTGTGTGTGTGTGTGTGTGTATATTTCCCAAGTCTTTCCTCCTCTCCTCTGGCCTAAGAAATGCTCAAGACAGCACCATCTATGCCTTGACATGTTTACAGCACGAGTTAACCAAGCCGAGGAGCCTGTGAATCGCCTTCCTAGTCTTCTGTCAACAGCAGCGTCCCATCCTGGCTCTTCTCACCGCTCCGGTTCTCCACTTCAGTACGCATACGGACCAGCTTACCGCCCCCGTTCCTGAAGCCCCAGATTCAGGTCTACCTGGCGCCCAGAAATCTGTACTTTCAACAGGTACCCATACGATTTCTGATTGAGAAACACCTGTCTACCCCTCTAGCCATTACAGTAGTCTCTCTCCCTAAATTCTTTCATAATTTGTTACTCAAATACTAATATTTCCTAACCGCCAACCTTGTCCTCTTTGGTACTTATTCTATTTAATTTTGCAAGGATATTCTATCTGTACCTCTGGTTTTGACTATGCAAGTAATTCATAAAATGTGCATCTTCGGTTCAGTTCTTGAACCTGACTTTTAGTTCCTTATGTTCAATTTTCCATTAGATACTTCTGACTAAATATCCCAGTTACTCCAAAGTTAGTATGTCCAAAAACTGAAGGAAACTTTTCTCTCTAACCCCTCTCCTCCTGTATTCTCTGTATCAGTAAGAGCCAGTAAGCCGAGCTAGAAACTGGCCTTGCCTTCGATCCCTACAGACCACCACGTCTGTAAGTCATCACGCCTGACCCATCACCCTCCTAAACGTCCCTCGCATCCGGCCCTGCGTGGACTGGCTGCACGGCTACAGACTGCTCACGCATCGGTCCAGGGGCCTCCCTGAGGAAGGCTGGCTCGTCTCCTTTGTCCCTCGTCACCCAAACGAACGGCAGCCGCCTCCTCTATCCTCCCAAAGTGGTCTGTCCTTTCTCTCCTGGGCGCTGTCTGCATGCTTCCCTCCTATCATGAGTTCCTCAAGGACAAGTTTTACTCTATTTGTGTTCTAACACAGCAAGCATTCGAACTTCTCATGAATTAACAAATAAAAAGTAATCCTTTTTAAAGTACAAAGTATGCCTTTAAATGTTTGAATGGATGCTTCTACATTTAATGAATTAGAGAAAAAATTAAGTTTTTACGATAATTTCTAATTTTATAGTATTTGGGAACATATATATAATAAATGCACTAAATATACATTTTTTGAACAAATTCCAAATGGTCATGTTAAAAATTAATATTCTGTTGAATATAACTCTAACGAAACATGGCAAAATATATAAAACACTGGTTTTCAAACACTCGCCAACAGGCAACGCAGGACCGTGACCTGGCTACTTCCCAGTGGCGACACAGGCATAGGATGCCACGCGGTGTGGCAGTCGCAGCGACAGCAGAGGGCAGAGCCTGGGAAAGCCAAGGTGGCCAGACTCTGTGGGCAGAGCACTGGAGGGGGAGCGCAGAAAGAGCGAGACGTTTAGAACGTGCAGCTGGGCTCCCCTGTGGTCCCTGGGGACAAAACTGATCTGTGCTGAGTATCCGAGGCTGGGGACATACAGCGCCTGCAGCCGGACAGGCTGGAATACCCTGCACTCCCACCACGCAGAGCGGAAGCACCTTGCAGTCTAACAGGCAATGGATGGACTCCTCAGAAACAGACTGGTAGCTGGGGGACTAAGTCAGCGCACACTGAAGGCCATTCTGCGCTCTCCCCAGCAAAGCTTAAAGGAGAGCCTCGACACAATCCAGCGGATTCCGAATGACCCAGTGTGCACCCCAGCTAAATCCAACACTCTCAGGAATACAACAAAATCCAGTGAGTGACGGCACAAAATTTATTGGCTGAAATATAATAAAAATTACCAGGTATGCAAAGGAGAAAAATATGACCCACAACCGGAGGAAAAAAAGGTCAACACAGTAAGTGCACGCCCAGAAGTGACAGAGATGATGGAATGAACACAAAACATGGTGAATCTAGACCATAAATATGTTCCGCACATTCAAGCAGAGAGAAAAACGTGGTCATGATAAGGAGGGAAACAGAAGACATGAGACCCCAGTTAAAATTCTAGAGATCAAAATAAAATATACTAAATAAAAAACGTACTGGACACAACTACCATCAGACTAGACAATGCAGGAGAAAACCTCAACGAACTTGAAGACACAGCAATAGAAATTATCTAAAACGAAGCACAGAAACAAGAAATTTAAACACGAACAAACAACAACAAGAGCAACATCAGTGAGCCACTCCGAAATGGACTGGGGTCCCAAAGTGTGGGGTCGAGAACAACACAGACAGACAAAATGACCCAGAACTTCCCAAATCTGATGAAAATCATCAAGCGAGTGATCCAAGGAAGAACAATCAACCCCAAGAATAAACATAAAGAAAACCACGCCAAGACACATCGGAACTAAATTGCCGAAAACCAGTGATAGAGAGGAAAATCTTAAAGTCAACTGGAGCAAAAAAGTACACATTACACACAGAGGAAAAAGGAAGGGGAGCAGACTTCTTGTCAGCGACTACGCAAGCCACGAAATAAGATGAGATCAGTATCTTTAAAGTAATGAAAGGAAAAAAAATGTCAACCCAATGAAAATGTCTTTCAAAAATTAAGGCAAAATAAATTTATTCAAACTAAAAAATGCTGTGAGAATTCATCACCAGCCAACCATCACTAGAATAGATGACAGTTAAAAGAAATTCTCAAGCAAAAGAGAAACAATACTAGATGGAAATTTGGAACAAAATGAAAAACTAGAGTGCCTGAAATGGTAACTGTGATGGTACTATAAAAGACATTTTCTCCTTTTTTAAATCCCATTTAAAAATAACCACTTAAATAAAAATAACAATGTATTTATGGGGTTTACTTTGCAACTTACATAGAAGCAAAATGATGACAAAATAACACAAAGGACATGGTGGGTGGGAGAAGTGACACTGATTAAAGCTGTCCTGTAGACCCCAGAGCAAGCACTAAAAACGTAAAACAAAATAATGCCTAATAAGCAAAAGTGGGGTAAAAGTGATGTCATCCCCTTTCGCAAATGAGGAAGCTAAGGCTTATCTTCACAGGATTGCTCTAAGAATGCCATGAAATAATACATGTAAAAATAGTATCTAATACAACGGGAACTCAAATGCTAGCTCCTTCCTTGGTGCAGACCTGCTGTTTAATTTATAAAATCTAAATATACCACAGCTACTGGTTACTACTTTCTACTCCTGAAT